CGAACGTAAAATTATGTGGAAAAATGCCATAAATACCGCAAATAGATATATATTTTCCCCAAAGGTTCTTTGAATTGTGGCAATCATATTTTCACTAAATGTGGCTATGCAATCGTGGAAAACAGCGTTTAGGGGGCACACCCCAATTTATTTGGGGCCTCTATTCGAAGCTGCACACCCTCAAATCTAGCGACCGTCTCTGGCGTGGAATAATTCGGAAGGAGAATAACTGTATATGGGACGAAAGGATATCTCTTCAGCTACAAGACAAGCTGAGTTTGGTAAAATCAACGGAAAAAACAATATTTTCACTCCAAAATTAATGCCCAAAATTGCGAATTTTCGCGTAGGATAATCCCACACAAAAAAATTTCCGGCAGAAATGACTGATGCTGGCAGAAAGACCCAAGCCTTGACTATACCCGAGTAAATTATAAAGAAAATTCTAGTACTGTAATTTTCTAAACAGTCCACGGCGCGAGGGGTTGCAAATCCACCCCTACGAAGCCGCAGAGCGAAATCTAGGTCAAACGGGCGGATTACACTTGGCGCGCAAGGATACCCGGAAGTAAGGTTCGGAGCCAAAAGAAATTTTCACCCCAAAATCACCATTTCTTACACTCTTCAGCCATGTTAATGTTTAATGATACTTCGTGGCAGTTTATAAGAAATGTCACCTCAAACTTGGACCCTCAAAACCCTTTCGTCACTTTTTTACAACGGACTATCGCGGACCCCGGTCGCGCAAGAACTGGGGTGTGCACCGTTAAGGCTAGACCTCTATGTGTAAAGTTAGACCTACGATGTTTTCGGTCACTCGACCAGCATACGAGTCCCTGCCACACATTCAGAACCTTCCCCCGACCACTAACCAACCAAGGTTGGATGAAGTTCTGGAGCATTCTGACCAGATGTAGGCCACCCCTCTCTTTCTATAAGAATCTAATCGAATTTGAGTTAAATATGAGTCAAATTTGAGCCCATGTTTTCGGGATTTCTAGAAACCGAATCTCGTAGTATATAACAGGTTTACAGTTGTTAAATAGGGTGGGAAGTTTATCCATAGTACCTGGCGTAGTTGTTCAAACGAACGGGAAATTTTTCAAGAAAACTTTGTACCTACCTTGCAAAGCATCTGTTCTTACAAATTGTTACAGCTATTTGGATAATGTTTCTTTTGTACACTAAAAACGGTATGTATGTTAAAGTGTCTTGTTAAACAACCCACACGTGCACATTGCTGATATAGTATTGCGTGTGACCTATTTTGTTGCGATAGTTGGCTGGTGTCGGTCTCGGTAAAACGCTTCACATATTCTTTTGGTTATAAAACAAATACGGTTTGTCTCAACTCCGGAAACGTCTATATTTTAAGACTTAGACAAAGTATAAAGTAGGTTAATAGTGATAGCACCTTGTAAAAGGTCATATATTTATAAAAGACTATTGACAATATTTCGAATGTTATTAGTTGTCAACAAATACTTTTTTTTCAAATCAGGAAACGACTAGATTTTAAGACTATACAAAGTGTTCACCTTACTTGTAAAGTAGGTTAATAGTGATAACACCTTGTAAAAGGTCATATATTTATAAAAGACTATTGACAATATTTCCGACTGGTATTAGTTGTCAACAAATACCGTTTGTAGCAAATCAGGAAACGACTAGATTTTAAAACTAGATAAAGTGCCCACCGTACTTACACTAAAGTAGCTTAATGGTGATAGCACGTTGTAAAAGTTGGTTTACTTACAAAGACTATTGACAATATATTCGACTGTTATCATTTATACTTGTCAACAAATACCTCTTTTTTTCCAAATCTGGAAACGACTAGATCTAAGCCTGGACAAAGTGCCAAAGTGCTACCACCATTAACCTACTTTTTATTAGTGTAAGTAACACTAAAGTAGGTTAATGGTCATAGCATATAGTAAAAGTTGGTTTATTCACAAAGACTGTTGACAATATTTTCGACTGGTACGGACAAACATATAAAACTAGCTGCCCTTCTGTCCATACACCAAAGTCCACCTCAGTATAGATGTTTATACCAGCCCGGCGGCGCCTGTATGAATGTACGCCGTGTGATACTGTAAACTCGTGCTGGGTCAATTCTGTTTTCAGCGAATGTTTGCTAAGTGGCCTGAGAAAAACGTCCCGTGCACATCGAATCATCCAAACACAGCCAGGTACTGTCATCGATTCATATCATAATTCATATGATAATCTATCCAGGGAATAACACAACCCACTCTTTAAATTGATTTCGGACATTCTATGGTTTTTAAACGTAAATACCTGTTTTGTTGCACTATAATCGAGAGGCTTAGACGAAATATTGTAAACTAGAATGGCCGACATTGGCTCGCTAGCAAATACATCTTATTTCACTCCATCTCCTTCTTCATCTCCATTTATCGAAACGGCAGTAGTAGTAGATAAAACACGAGGAAAATCATATATTTCATCCATAACTTTGGTTTGGAGTGAAATATAACATATTTCATCCTTACCTATACTATGGAGTGGAATATGATAATTGGTTCACATGTGATCAGTGTTATATAGACATAAATGTAAACACAAGATGCAACGATGTAATCAATGGGGAAATCCTTGATACAAGACATTTTGTGTGCGCTCGTCTGTACATGATTACAGTGTGGCCATCGGCATCGAAGCACAATATAACGCGGTAAATTATTAATAAACGCGGAAGTGAGACCTGTATGCTACAGTAACAGACTTGTTTGCCATTGCATTAATTCCCAGAAAAAACACACGGTACAAGAAGGTACTAAGGCCTAGGAAAACACACGGTACTAGAAGGTACTAAGGCCTAGGAGAATGCCGTGTCTCCAGTTCTAGTCCTCAAAAACCTATACTAGGTAGGGATTTTCTTTTTTTTATTTTTAGATTTAGGCTGAAGTGAAACAAGAAATACTGTTAAACAATAGAACGGACATGGAATCA